GGGTGGGTGGGTGTGTGTGGGACGTTCTCAGCAAGTGTGTGGATAGCCAGGCAAATAAACCTCTGCCTAGCTTTTCCTTTGCTTAGCATTGCCTTTAATTATCTGCTTCTACTTGGAACACTCTTTTAAGCAAGTCTCAATTTCCTCATCTAGAAAGTGGAAAGCTGCATAGAGTTTTTTGTATTTCCTTGAAGTCCTAAAATAACACGTCCTACAATTACTCTAGTTTATTGGCTGGCTGGCCTCACTAAAAGGTATCAGTAATTCTGATTGTCTCAGAGTCATGCCTCTGGCTTCATTTCAGGGGGACATATTGGAGGAACGGAGGCATGAGGCAGTGGAGGCTGAGTGAATCCTAGATGTCCTCTGGGTAAAGAGGCCATTCTTGAAATCATTTTTGGAACGTTGTTGACATTTAAAAATCTTGAGTGCACTACACTTTTCCCGTTTTTTTTCCTTTATTCTGTGGTCTTGCAAAAAAAAAAAAGAGTTCCTTTCCATTTTTAAAAAATTTTGCTGTTATTCCTGCCACATCGGATTGTAGTTCTTCCCATCAGCTAGTATGCATTTAGTCATGGGTTATTGTTTTTACCACTGTCTGTGTCCAGCTGATGAAAATTACTCAAATTGAAGTCTTGTCTTAATCAACTAATATTACACCATAATTTAGTTTTAGTCATTGTTTATAAGAATCTTTGAAGCATCCTTTTGAAGACAGTTTAGTCAATTCAGAGTACTGTGGGGCCTGGCTATAGAATACAGCCCTCTAGATTTAAAAGTTGTGAGCACAGCAACTTGGAAAATCCAAGAAGGTAATAGTAGCTGCTTAGCTGGCCGGGCTGTTGGATTCCACAGTGATTCTCCCTCTCTTCCTGTCTGAATCCAGCCGTTTCCTTCCCTCCCAGAGCCAGTCGCTCTCAAAGGTTTCACCTTCCTTACTGTACATCTCCCCAAAAGGGCCTTGGGAATAACATGTCATTGTTTACCACCCTTCAAAGTAGCAGTTGCCATCAAAACGCTAGGTTCCAGTCATCTGTGCCCATATAAACATTGGCTTCACGTTGCGTCAGTTATGGGGTTTTAGACCACGTAACATCAGTGAGCAAGTATTCTTCTATGGTCATTAATTAAATCATTGTTTATAGTCTCAGATTGTTATAGTATGGAGGCAGCATAACATTTTTCATCTCAAGTGACATGAGGTCCAGAGGGGCCCCCCTTACATATTTTCGTCCTGACTCAGACAAGTTCTTCAGTGAAATGAAGCATTAGCATTCGGGGGCCAGAGCAGACCCAGGGATTGCCCAGGGGAGCCCACGGAGAAGCCTGTTGGCTGACTGGCCAGGCCTGGCCAGAGCGACCCCGGGGAGGAGCAGGAGTTGTCAGGGCCAGCACGTCTTCCCTGGTCAGTGGTTGAGGACCTGCTATAGGTACACAACTTCTTGCTTGGAAGTCTGGTAGTCATGGAGCTAGTTCTCAGCCAGTGGACCTCAGACACTGTCCCCTGGAAATGGTTGTCTGGGGACATTTATATTCCTTGTAGGAATTCTCTGCCTCCTCCAATCTACTAGCAAAATCTAGAGGGCCTGGAGCTCCTTGGTTTGTTTCATTTTATGCATAACTAAGTCTTATCTTGAGGGAACCAGCCCTAATGAGGCAAAGCAGCAAGCCATTTTAAATACATTAAAACAATCATTGCCACTGTACAATGGATTGTGGAATATAAAGTTCTGCATTCATGCTATTGGATAAATAAGTGAACTGGGAAAACTGAAAAGAGGGGCTGACTCGCCCAGATATGCCATAATGCCGGGATGACCTTCTCTAATGTTCAGTGTGCCAAGATGTTAAATAAGCACCGCCTGATTCTCCTTCAGAAATCACGGTGAGTGGAGTGTTTTCCAGCTGTGCAAATAAAGAAGGGCCTCCGTGTTTGGGTTCTCAACCAATCAGTCATCGTTAGGCTGAATGGAAACGCCACGTGAGCCTCCCTTGGTTGTCTGCTCAGCTTGTCCCTCTTTGATAGGTGAATGGTTATTCTCTCCTTATTTGAAAGAGAACCAGTGGCCTGAGCCCTCCTCAGAAGTTCAGACCCACAGCCTTTTTCCCCATCAAAAAATTCTTATCCTCACCATACCTTTTCAAGTGTCTTGTCTGCTAAAAGATAGATTCAAATGCATGAGGCTGGAATGGTTGTAGGTGAGGGTAGGGGAAAAGTGGCATTTAAAACTTTTCATATTTTGGAACACATGGAAGAAGGCAAAAATGTCAGTTATTCAGATACCTTGGTGTAATTTTTTTGTACCTTTTGTCCAATCTCTCTCTAATTCCCCTAACTTCCAGCCTTCAGCTTCTACCATTTCACTCCCTGTTTCTACAAGTTCAGCTTTTTTAGATTCCACATGTAGGTGATATAATAAAGCATTAGCCTTTGTCTGTCTTACCTCACTTTTTCACAATACCCTTTAGATGCATCCATGTTGTGGCAATCGGCAGGATTTCCTTCTTTCTCAAAGCTGAATAATAATCCATTGTGTGGTGTGTGTGTGTGTGTGTGTGTGTGTGTGTGTGAGAGAGAGAGAGAGAGAGAGAGAGAGAGAGATAGATTTCCTTTATCCATTCATCCATTGGTGGACATAAGTTGTGTACATTCCACAGAACATAAGAATTTGAGTGGAAAGGGCTTTGGGATGAAGGTGAAGATGGTGCCGCTGTTGTTTATAGCAACTAAGGATGACAAACTAAATGCCAGGTAGAGAGCAAAGTGCTTTTGTGTATTATCTCTTTGACTCTCATTAAAGCTCTATTAGGTGCTTGAGAAGAATGACTAGCACCTTGCCCCACGTACCAGCTAATAGGGGGCCAAGTGAGGATGCAAACGCAGTTGATCCAAAGCCCCAGCCTAACTCTTCACCAGGACGAGAGGTTCCCTCTCGCTGGGGGGAAGAAAGTCGTGGTTCATGGAGGACTCTTGCATGTCTCCCATAATTTGAAACACACTAGGGAAAGGAATCAAGAGGTTGAGAAGGACTTTAATGTGCCACAGCTGATAAAAACTAGACTGTGTGTTCCAGAAAAAGTCATGCCTCAGCCTATGTAGCCACGTGGTCCAGTTTCTGACATTTTACAAATGGGGACATTAATGCCCTGAGAGGAGATGAGACA